TTAGTAACAAATTCAGCTAAACATAATTGGTTAAAATTAATTATATAAAGAAAGAAAAATATGTATTGGTGATAAGTAATTTTTGTAATACGCAGCTGTTTTTACAATTTTAAAACACACAATATTTAATAACACAAAACTGACTTCATGGATCACAATTGTACCGTGAGTTGTACAACAACATCAAACAAATATAGTGTCACGAGACCCGGTCATTACTTTTCAAATTGCTACTGGCTGTAAATATCAACAATCCCATTTCAATAATAAAAACTGTGCCAGGAAAGCATCGCGGATGTACGCTTCGTAAGCAAATAAAAAAAACGGTTCACACGCTTTAGAACACAAACGACCCATTGACAAATACTGTGCTTTAGAGATTATAAGCGTAGTAGCGTAGGTTCGTGATTTTGTAAATACTCGTTCTCTACAAAACAGACAATAAAATGCAAAATTCACATTCCAAAATCAACTTTTCATAAAAAACATGTTTCTTTAATAAATATAAAAAAAGAAAAAGGACATGTAACAAACCAAATTGAATCAATGTTACATTACTTTTCACTGTCCATTGCTCCTTCATCTTATCTTCTGTGTAGGGGACTCTTGGGTCGTTCGAAAACGGATGTCGCCTGATCGTATACTGCCAAATACAAGGCGTTGATTTACATACTTACCATCCGCACGATTTATTTGCGTGCGGTTTATGTCTACAAAGGGTCGATCAACGTTTTAACGCACGCCCCATCGGTTTTAATACGGTGCGGAACTTTGCGTGCTGAACGCTTCTTTCGATCGTGTTTGGATTTTCCTAAACTTTATTTCACATTTTTATACGGTCCAACTTACAAGGTTATAAAATTTAATACTCTTTATTGCAGCTCTTAAGCAGATTATTTTAATTTTCAGCAAAAAATTCAACGATATCTACAGACGAGCTGGATTTCAAGTGAATTGAAAAATAAAGTTAATCCATGTTATTTTCTATTTTAAATGCCAACATAAGCGGATTGTTTCTATTATGGAAAATAGTAGTTCCACGAAATTAAAAATATCAGTCCTATCAAAAAATAAAAGTAAATCTTAAATCCGTTCTTGACATTGTTCTGTTTTAAGTACTTAAGCCGATAGTTTACATTTTTAGAATATACCAAGAAATTTTACGACACCTTTAAACTTAATACTAAAATGAACTTTTTTAATATTTCAATTAATACCTAAGTAGTTTAAAGAAATGGACTGTTAATGTTGATGTGGGCGCAACGGAGTGTACTGAAAAGGAGGGGGGCATTAAAAAGAATGTAATTTACGATAAAATTGGAGGGAATTTACGACGAGCTTCCGCTGACCCATTAAAATTTCTTGGTCCGCGAAAATTACCATTTGTTTATGAAATTTTTCTTGATTTATTGCAAGAAGGTACGAGAAACCAAAACTGAGCCGGAAATTGCTTTTTCATGGAAATGGAATGGTGCAACCTCAATAATGCGCGTTGAAACTGTTGCCGGCGTGAAAGAATGTTTCTTCTTTTTTGTAATGGAACCTTGAGATTTATAATTTATTTGTTGCATAAAAAATAATTCATTAAAAATGAGTAAGAAATAAAATATTAATTATTGAAATTAATAGCATAAATATTGTTATTTACCTTTATAAAAAGCGTTTCTATGCTATGTAAATTCAGCTTGAATACATTTACACGTTGATTCGAATCTGGGACAATTCTCACATAACACACATTCTCTCATGGAGTGAAATAATAGACGTGCATAATTTTTGTTCAGACGACAAACAACGCAGAGCCTCAGAGAGGTGGGAGAACATCCAACCATCATCATGTCCAAAACAGAGAAGACTTCTTGAACACCGAGCTCCGGCGGCAGATGCCCGTAAAAGAACAATTAACTTCTCTCTCTCTCTTCCGGTCTGTGAAAACGCTGAGATGCTCCTTCGGCCCAAAAGTTCATCAGCGTGAAGAGAGAGTTCTCAATTTCGAGTCTCTCGAGAGACAAAGTACAAAAACTCCGCGGCGAAAATGTAATTAACCGAGAAATATTCGAACAAAAGCACGCCGCAAAGTTAAGACGAAATTAATTACCCATGGCCGGTTGTAAATGAAGGAATGAGGGAAACAGCGATCATGTGTTTTAGCTTTTCCGTTTTTCTATAAATTAAGAATTATATTAATCTTGCTTAAGTAAAACAAATAACAAACGTGATATAAAATAAAAAACACTTTTTTGTCACATAGTTGGGACTGCACAAATACACATTCTGTATTAGCTGGGGACAACGCTCCATGATCAATTTTATTATAGCTGTCTTCGAAAGCTGAAGATAACTACTTAGATCATTTTTCACATTCATTCCATCGTAAGATAAATAACATATTTACACCTTTGTTCGCGGCAAACGGTTTGGTATTCTCCAACTTACCGCGGTTCAACGAATTGCTATTTATTATATTCATTTATTATTGTATTTATTATTTATTATTGTATTTATTATTTATTATTGGTACATATTATTATTCTTCATTTATTATATGATATCTGATGGGGAAATGCTCTGTGTGTACAACATTTATCATCGTAATAGATGCTCCACAGATTCTGAAAAATCCGATTGTGTAAGTGTTCTTTTTACGGCACGTAGAGGGATCTCTATTACCCCACTGCCAATGATTGTGACAGGAACTGAGGATTTGTGATTGTGTGCCTGTTGTGGTAATACGTGAACGATTTTGTGCTGTATTTATCTGCCACCAAGTGAGCATGTCTCTTTCAGTGCTTCTCCTGAAGTCTGTCTTTTGGTCGTTAGTGATTTTAATATCGCTAGTGTCTATGTCTGCTGGGTATGGGCTCATTCCTATTTGGGGAATGAATGCTCGGGAAAAGGAGTTCCTTCTTGCGTTCTCCTATTATAATATCGACAGACGATTCGGTTTTGGTTTCAGTTTCGGCCAAAACATAAGTTTCGATAACTGTTTCTGTTGTGGCCAAAAATCGACCGAACTTTTGGCAAGAACCGAAACTTTATTCGTCCAGTCTCGGCTGGTGTTCGTCTATTCTGGTAACTGCTTTGGCTTGTTCGTACGGAAATTTTATCTTGTTTCAAGGAAGATGAAACAAGTTGTTTGTGTACGTGCATCTACCTTGTGAAGCGTATACAAAAAGTATGTAAAGAGAGAAAGACGATATGTAAAATTTGAAAAAACTTTATTCTTTGAGCACAGAATAAATCACAGATGGATGAGAAGAAAAATGGATTTAAGTTAAAAAAGAAAGATGTGACAAACATTAACAATAACAATCGAATCTCATACAATGTAACTTAACAGATATAATAAAAAGAATGGCGAAAGAACCGCAATGGACAGGTGATCATGTAGTTTCTCAGAGACTCGATAAGGCCAATGGACTTTATAATTGTCGACATGCTGCCATTTTCTATAGTAGAAAGTACTGCTTTTACACGTTTTAATTTAGCTAATTATAATAAACAGTTTAAATTTGAAACATTTTTCCGTAATGCTCCAAATATATGATAAAGTGAAGGCAAAAGTAATGGACTTAATCGAACAATGCGAACGGTTAAGTTGCACGACCGATGTATGGAGAAATCCATCAAAGTCGTGCTCATTACTGAGTTTGACAAGTTATTTCATGATGGGATCAGAAAGTTATATTGGAAGCTACTGTATGTACTGGAAGCGAACCACACATTGTGGGTGAATGGAACATAAACAACAACATTTTTCTATTCGTACAATACAGCAAATATGGGTTGTGCAACGGGTATGGTGCTTGATTCTATAGGTTGGTTATCTCACACTTTGCAGCTGGTCATCAATGATGCTTTATCCAGAGCAGAAGGCATAGGAACAACGATAAAAAGGTGCAGAAGAATCACTCACTTTTGAAGTAGTGGATAAGCGACCAGAAAACTGACAGATTCTCCAGTTCAAGTCTTTACTACAAGACATAGAAGTGCGGTGAAATATCACATACCTAACGTTGCAACGATTGGTTGAAAAAAAAACATGCATTATTAAGATTAGTCATGTTTTTTACTTTGTCATGAATAGAGTATTATTAAAATCTTTGGATTTTGTCTATTATTTAATCCTAAAAAAATGTTTCGGTTACGGTTTCAGTTTCGGCTAAAACTGAGACAAAAGCCGAATTTCGGTTTCAGTTTGGGTTTCGGCTGTAAATATCGGTTTAGGTCGGACACTACAATACGCTTTAAATGTAAATTAATTTTTTGTAATTCTGATGTACTACATTCTGTAATCTCTAAGCGGTGATCCAAGTCGATCACCGCATCATCACTCGAGATTACATATGCAGTTATAGAATTTGTCTTTTGCTTTAATTAGACTACTAACCTACGGATATGGCTTTGAGTTAACTGACAGCTTGATCGCGCGGATTATGACGGACGAGGTGCATGGGCAAGCGTCGATTGTTGTGATTTATTTAATTCCTTAAACGTTGATCAACGTGTTAACGTTTTTTATTCTATTTTGAATGAGTGCATGGGCGAATTCATTCCGCGAGACTCTGCTCGAAGCTGCCCCTTTCCGACCTTTTACGTCTTTTTGTCCTAACAAAATACTTATTTTTAATACATAACTTTCATAATTTAGTTCTTATCGCAAATGAATTTACGTGAATATCAAACTACAATTTCGATATTCATATTTCAATATTGTGATAAAAAGTATAATCTAGGTTATTTATTAAAAGGGGATAATATGCGAGAGATAATGGATAGGTATTAACTTAGAAATGGATTATTATAAAAGTCCTTATAAAATCGTAGAGGTGTACTTCCAAGTATTGTAAGTAAAATAGAGAGTACTTTCTGTTCTTTAAAATTGCCCACTTCTCAACAGGACGAAGCAGGAAGAGTATCTGTATGTGTAGAAATATAGATATAAAAGAGAAATATGTTTGAATACTTATTTATTTCACTAATCATAAATACAAGAAAAAATTCTTTTATAAACGATATTAATTTTAATTTAAACAATCAATTTCAATAAAAATTAAACATTTAACATTGAAGGTTTAACTTCCAACACAGAAACTAATAATCCACAAATTTACACATAACTCCCAACTTTTCAAAATTGCTGACTTTTCAAGAAAACTTTTAAAATCGTTTCCTTGCAAAAACTTGACAATTTCTAAGAATTCGGCAACGTTATCTGAATTTATGTAATTAATACTGCGCTTTGATGTTACCATACTTTGAATTTCTGATCGGTAACTTCTTGACAATGTTTTCTTAGTCCACCCTAACAGGCTATAAGTCAAGTTGATAACCTTGTCAACGTTAATTCCTATTTGGCGAAGACTTCCGACTATGCGTTGAACTTCATCCATTAGACGAATTTCTTCGACCATAGCGTGAGTTTCTCCACTAGCAATTTTTTCTAAGAAGTCTTTGAAATCCGGACTAGTAATTAATTTCTCATTTAAAATGGCAACAGTAGTTGGTAGGTCAAGAGTTTGCAAAACTTCATCCATAAATTCTCTTACACTGCGCATATTAACGTTGTTGAAGTTTTTGGAAGCATCAACGCTAGCGACAAGATCAAGAAGGTATTGAATAATAATGTCAATATCAACTCCGACACTATCCATGTAAATTTTGAATGCTTGCCATTTAGGGCTATTAGCAACGCTATCGACAAGAATACTCCATTCGGGTGCTCTTAAGTATTTAACGATTTCTTGGAATTCAGCATTGTTTTCGGCGTACTTCTGAAAAATAGCTCTAATTTCAGACGATGGGATGGTTGCAACAATGTCTTCAAGATCATGTTGGAGATTTTTGTTGGGGCTTGGCATGCCCGAACTTGTGGCCACCACGACAAAAAGGAGCAAAGTGAATTTCATCTGTAATGAGGCAATTAAAATTTGCAAAATTAAAAATACTTCTTAAATACAAAAGTTAAGTCTTACCTTGTAAAAGGTTATAAAGGTTGATGGAAAGATTGATGATTTTCATAACATGCCGTTTCCTTTATATACTAGAAAATTTGATTAAAAAACATAGTTATCATAAACAAGAAAAAACTGGTTTTGTTCTGGAGGAACTAATGAACAATTACAACGTATCAACACCCTTATTGAGAAAGCTATAGAATATAACCGACCTTTTAACCCTCTTCATAAAGAGGCACGAAAACTTGAACACTACTTCAACGACGAGTAGTATGGATGGAATCGGATGTCCTCTTCGGGTTAATTATATAATAGTCTTATACCACGGGCATCATGAGTGATGACGAGATAGAAGAGGACTCGTGGCCATTATGTGGTATCATTATCTTGCTTGTCCAAATCAGTTCTAACACCAGGAATGGATTGAATACTTAATGACTTTCTTTGGAGTGTGTGTATAAATCTTAGGCAGAATTTATTTCTTATAGCAGGTACTACACTTCCTGAACTCCATTCTGTTGATAATTATTTTCTGGATGTGTAAATTTCTTAAGCGACTGCAGGGACATTATCTTACCCGGTTTAGCTTCTATATGTTTGGTATTGCCATGAAATGGAATTTTCTGCCGAGCTAAATGCTATGCAGTTACAATCATCATACAATGCGTCCGTGACATCGGCCATGTCCATTAATCATCGCAATAATATATTCGGAATATGTTGGGATATCTAATTTGGGGTATACCAAGTTATTCGTTGCGAACCGAGGAGTGAAAATATTATATTTGTCTTCAGCAGTTTTCTTTAACACTCGATCAGCATCCTATAGAAGATGGATGCGAGATTGTGCAGAATGAAGCAACTAGGAAGTTAGATGATTTCGCAGCTACTAGGACCAGAGGCAATGATTATTATGCATAGGTCGCTGGCTCGTTGATTTCGGATACACACAAAGATATTAACTGAAAGCATTACGGCTACAAAGATTTCAAGATGTTAAAAATTTTGACTTCTTTCAGTCTTACAACATATTTTAATGAAGCACTAAAATTGTAGAGACAACATAATTATGAATACTCAATGCAAAAGCAAAGAATGAAACTCAAACTTCCTCTTTTATTAAAATGTTTAAGAAGATGTTGTATTTTTTAATAAACCTCGATAGTTATGAACAATTGATTTTAAAATTATCGTATTTCAAGAAATGTAACTATTAGATAGCGAACCACTCAAACCATTCAAAAACGTAAGTGTTTTCGCGAAAACTATTTGTTCATTACTTAACAGAATCTAACACGATTGCTTTTTTTTGTTGATTGTTTTTTAATAAAATTTACTAGTATATAAAGGCATGAAAATCATCAATCTTTTCATCAATCTTTTACAAGGTAAGACGTATCTTTTGTATTTATGAAGTTTCTTTAATTTTACAAATTTTAATTGTCTCATTACAGATGAAATTCATTCTGGTCCTTCTTGTCGTGGTGGCTTCAAGCTCAGGCATGCCAAGCCCCAACAGAAACCTCCAACCTGATCATGAAGACGTAGTTGCAACCATAGAAAAAGTTTCTAGTGTAGAAACTTACGCTATGGGCGAAGAAATTAAAGTTGACAAAGGTATCAACTTGTCGCCTGTTGTTTACGCCTGTTAGGGTGGACTAAAAAAACATTTGTTTGATTTTATATTGTAGTATTTCGTTTAGCATTGAAATGTTTTAAGCACGCGAGCTTAGAATTTTTTCTCGTAGTATTTTGTTTTAGTTGGGTTTTGGTTATAATTCTAATAACAAAGGAACCTACGAGCTCTAAACCATAGCTTTCATTTAAGGAGTTTAAGGTTTCATTTAATTTCGTTTAAGGAGTTCGATTTGATACGCAACAGTGCGCCTTCGTTTCATGTGGAGCAAAGCTCCCATAAGTAATCACAATTTTTATATATGTAAAATTTTGTTTGAATAAACCACCAAAACCCTACTTGTTCTTAATTAATTTATTATTAATATTAACATTTAAACTTTCATATGATTAACTAATTTCACCACCTTCAACACTACACTTTTTACTCTTTGCTTGTCGTATTCTAACTTCTGCTCCTCTACTTCTTCTCTCATCTGCTTCTATCGATCGACCCGAGCCCTTGACCGAGTACACTCGAAGGGTCCCGAGTCTTCCTGAATCTTTCCTACATCTCAGCCATCTTGCTGGAAATTTGCCTCGAATGACTTTTCCTATTCATCATCTTGTTTTTACTGTAGAATTTGAACTGACTTGAGCATTAGAACTGGTCATAGTAAAACCATTGCGAAATCATTTAGTGTCCAAGTTGCTTCATGGTGCCAAATCTCTCATCAACTTTTATAGGATGCTGATTGAGTACTAAAAAAAACTGCTGAAGAGAAATATATAATATAATATTGTAGCATGCTGTGCACACGACATGTACAAAACAAAAGAACGTTACTATATAAAATTATTAATATTATTATCATTAAAAATAATCAATCCTGTCAGTCCTATCAATCCTGTGAATACATACATATATATCCACAAATATATTCACTCCTTGGTCCGCAACAAACAATGAATATATTATTGTAATGATTATGAGACATGGCTGATGTCAAAGACACATTGTACGATGAAGAATCGATTAACAGTTTTGGAGACGTAGTCAGAGTTCTTCTTTCTATTTTAATTTTCTTAGTCATACTGTGTAAGTTGATTGCGGTTGTTACATTTTTGTAAATATTGTAAATAATATTGGGTATCTTTGGTCAATTCTTTATTCCTTTACTGCTTGTAAAATTGAGACCAACTCTATAGTATCGAACGCTTTGTAAATGTCGACAAAGATCAAGTTTGAAGATCGGTTGTATTCTATAGTTTTCTCAATAAGTATGTTGATACATTGTAATTGACTGACCCTTGCAAATTCATTTAATTCTACCATACAAAATGAAATCTACTGTTCACTGTCAAACTTACCTTTGAGAAAATCTATTAAATATTGATCAAATTTATAACTTTTATGATTATGCTAAAGAGCTAAGATATCGATTTACTAACTCTATATTAATTCCAAGAACAACCACCTACAGAAAATTGTAATAAAATAAAGAAACTGCGAAAATTAACATAGAAAATAAACCATTTATTTCCGTAGAATTATAATATATAATAATTAACAATAAATACTTAAAACGACTTCTTCTCTAACTCTACCATGAGGGTAAAGTATGTGCAGAAATATACAAAAAATTGTGAAATAAATCTTTATCTTAATATCTTTACGTTCAACTTCCAATACAGAAATTAATAACCCACAAATGTATACAAAATTTCCACCTTTGCAACAAATTTGAGCGTTCAAGAAAACTTTTAAATTCGTTTCCTTGCAAATACTTGAGAATTTCTAAGAATTCGGTAGCGTTTTCAGTATTTATGTAATTAATAGCACTTTTAGATAATATTGCGTTTTGGATCTCAGATCGATAATCTCTATTTACTATTTTCCTAGTCCATCCCAAAAGGCCGTAAATCAAATCGATCACTTTGCCAAAATCGATTCCTATTTGACGAAAATCTTCCACAATGCGTTGAACTTCATCCAATGCACGTATTTTTGCTACCATAACACGAACTTTATCGCTGGTAATTTTTTTCAAGAAATCTTGAAAGCTAGGGCTAGCACTTAGCTTTTCGATTAAGCAAGTAAGGGTAGCTGATAGATCAACAATTTGTAAATCTTCATCGGAAAATTCTCTGACTTTGGAGTTTCTGGGAATATCAATACTAACGATGAGATCGAAGAGATGTTGTATAACACCATCAATGTTAATTCCAACGCCTTCCATGTAAAGTTTGAATGCTTGCCATATAGGGTTGTTGGAAACGGTATCGACAAGATGGCTTAATTCATCTCCTTGCATATATTTGAGGACTTTCAGAAATTCGCCATCTTTTTCGACATTTTTGCGAACAATAGATCCGATGTCAGACATTGGAATGGTCGCAACAATGTCTTCAAGATCATGTTGAAGATTGCTGTTAGGCCTTGACATGGCCGTACTGCTGGCCACCACCACAAGAACAAACAAAATGTGTTTCATCTGTGAAAAGATAATTAAAACTTGTGTAATTACATAAAACTTTTTAATTAAAAAAGTCGAATTGTGTCTTACCTTACAGGAAAATTTAGTAAAACTAGTGAATTATGATTGTCTTACCTTGTAGTTACTCTTATATACTATATGATTTTATTAAAAAATACATTTATCTCATTTAGCAATAGCACCCGATTAGGCTCTATTCTTTGAAATATCGCAATTGGAATAACAACACGAATTCATTAATAGATTTTCAAAAAAACATCTGTGTAGTAAATTCGATAACACTCATAAATTAGATAACATTCACAAATCATAAGTACTTAAAAACTGTCATTGATTTTAAAGGTTTCCAAGAATTAACTAAAACTCTTAACATTTTTTTAAATTTTTTTTAAGAACAAACATTTTCAAGATTTTAAATACGTTTGATTTCAATAGATTTCAAAAATACGTGATTATTTTTAAAGTAAGCCAGATAAGATAAGGCATCCACCAATTTTAACACGATTCTAAACTTAAAAAAGTAAGTATTAGTATAATTTTGCACTAAATTTCGATTGTAAATATTTCACTAAAGATGAATCTGACAAATCTCAGTCAACACATCTAGCGTGGTCACTTTATTAGTAGAATTTATTAATCTGTCCTATGATGGTTTCTCAGATGTCATTAACTATTCTACTGCTTACAATATTATTAGGAAATAAAATGAATGCCAACTGCTTGGCTTACATTTCTCCTAACATAATGTTTACACCATCTTTGGTGGTTGAAAGTGTTAGGTTTTCCCTACAGTCATACTTAACTATTATTAAACTTTCTAAAAACGAAGGTTTAACAACATAAATTACAGTTTTTGCGGGCTACATTTTGAAATTAATGTACTGACACGGAGTTTCACCCTTAACTTTAGCGTCCCGTCTATACTCTACCTAAGAAACTGCAGCGGCATAATCTACAAAGTGAACAATTGCCGAGAACCATGTCTAGCAACGTTATCCCTCCCAAGTAAGAGTTATAAAATTTTATCAAAACTGGCCGTAAAAAGTCAGTCTTTACTCCAACGTCTACAGGTATCTTTGTTATCAATGTTCTTCATCATCACGCACAATACAATCATAAGGACCATATCCCAGTTTTCTTAGCATGTTATCTGATTTCAAACAATCTGTTGTGTCTTTCACAATAAAACTTACTGTTTGACCTACAAATCTAAACCGATAAGTTTGATCCAGAATGGACTGGGCGAAAAGTAAGTGCCCGGTGCCTAAAATCCGTGCCCTATGGGTAAGGTACGGTAACCCCTACAGAAAAGTTCCTGATCCTCCATGTCTGAATCAGACTTGAATCATCCGAACGGACTTTTAGACCACGACTTGGGAGACAAATTCAGTTAAAGAGATTGCTATATATACTTGGAACGTAACAAACCTGTACAGCGCTAGTGCTCTAAAAGCTCTACTAGAAAATACCCTGGAAAAGTATAAATCAGACAGTGCGGCACTACCGAAGTAAGATGGACAGGTAAAAGTATACTGGAGAAAGCTGGACATCTATCATAGCTGTCACAATACTTTACTCCTTTGGTGTTATCTTAATTGTAGGTAAAAGGACTTGGTAATTGCCTTAGAGACGGTCGACTCCAGGATCGGCGTGATCAGAATAAGGGGAATGTTCTTCAATTACTCAATTATTAGTATACATGGAAGGCACCTATGGAAGAAGATAGCGATGAAGGACAGGAAGAATTATGGACAGTTGAAGGCAGTATACAACAAACGCCAAAAGTATGATGTAAAAATAATTATAGGGAATATGTACGCAAAGATCGGCCAGAAAGATTTTTACAGGTCAACTACTGGAAATAGAGTCTCCACGAAGGTAGCAATGATAACAGGATCATGTTCTAATAGATGTACAACATGCCACAAATATTATGGATGTGAGATTTTATAGAGGGGCGAATTAATTCAGATCACTATCTAGTGGAAGCGAATTTAATAATAGTTTGAATATTTAACGTGAAGAATGAAAGGAATCTTAGGACAATAAAATACAACATAATGGCACTGAAATAATAAGACATAAAAGAAACATTCATACAATTCGACACATAGCGCCATAATCAGGGAAAACGCACGCAGGCATGGATGCGCACTGGAGGCAGTGTGAAGTTGTGCCACAGAATAACCAAAAAGGACACTGGGGATATCATTTATAACATTTAGGATTATAAAAATCGTCGAAAAGTGTCATTTTATTAGTAATGGTTATCTGCCAAATTTGATTCTTCTAAATTCCTCAATAGTGGATTTATTAAATAAAAACAATTTTTCCCCTAACTTTAGAGGGCTGTAGCTGAGTGGGGAAGGGGTTTGAACAAAAAGTTATATGAAAGACCCCCTTAATTTTTGCTGAAAAGTCATCCCTTGAAGAGTTTCGTATCAATTTAGAAACACCTTATATTACAACGAATATTTTTAGTTAAAATTAAAGATAACTCTTTCAAAATTATTGTATAAAATGAAAATTATCACTTATTACCGATTAATCAGAATCGAGATTAACTAATAAGGAACAAAAATCACCATCATTAAAGTAACTGAATATTTTAACGAGTAGTAGTATGTTTTAATTGATATTTATTACATGTTTTCCTTAAAAGAATCCGAGGAATTTTTAAATTTGAAAACTATGGATTTTTCTTCCATTTCTATATATAGAGTTGATTATTACTTATGTTAACAAACATTTCGTTTAACCAGAATGGTTACAATTTCATTTCAGAAAATAGATTACGCAATCTTTATTTTAACGTTATTTTTAACATTTTTAGTGGGAGCATTTTATTCGATATGTAAAAAACAGAATACGGCCGAAGAATATTTACATGGTGGGCGAAGTATGAATCTTTTTGTTGTTGCCTTTTCAATTATATCTGGGTAAGATTATTTATTATTAATTCTCCACACAGATGGAGAATTCTTTCATACAAGAATATATCACTAACATTAAACGTCTACAATCGTTGTTTTATATTAACAATTTTTTTTATTTGCAGAGCAATATCTATTCAAATTATAACCATTCCAACAGAAATTTACTACTATGGCATAAATAGTTTTGTAGGTAGCATCATCACTTCACCACTTGTTGGTTTAACAACTTATTTCTTAATTTTCCCCGTCTTTTACAAATTACAACTTACGAGCATTTACACTTATCTTGAATTAAGATTTGACAGAAAAGTTAAATTATTATCATCGTTTATATTTGCTGTACAAATAATTGTCAGTTTTCCAATCATCACTTATATACCAGCATTAATAGTTTCTTATGGTAAATAAATCATCTTTGAAATATACCTTTTAACCAGTAAGCATAATTTTAGTAAGCAACATAAACGTTTATGTAATAACATATTCTTTAAATAGCTTATGTATCATTTATACTCTATTTGGTGGTATAAAAGCTGTTATATGGACAGACGCGTTACAATTGTTATTCATGCTGATATGTCTATTTGGGGCAGTACTTGTTGGTTTTGTTAGGCTGGGAATTTGGAATATTTTTAAAATTGCGAGTGATACGGAGAGATTAAAAATAGTGTATGATTTCCTTTTCTATTCAAAATTAAAAAAAAAAATATGTTACCATTTTTTAGATTAGATTTAGACCCAACTAAACGAGATACATTATGGATTGCTATTGGAGGTTGTTACTTTCAAATTCTTGGATTGATGGGTTTTGGTCAAGGATCTATTCAAAAGTATTTATCATTAAAAAAGTATAGTGATGTAAAATGGTAAAAAACAAATTAAATTGTGAAAGATAATATTTTAAGAAACATTTTTAGGGCATGTTCCATTGCTTTCGTTGGAATAATGCTGATAATTACACTTTCAGCTTTCAGCGGTATTATACCTTTACATCAGTATGTTTATTGTGACCCACTGATATCTAAAAAAATTAGAAAGCCAGACCAATTATTAACACATTACATCATGGATCCAGAAATACGATTTTCGGGTTTAGCTGGTCTTTTTGTATCTGGTATTATTAGCGCAAGTTTAAGCACTTTATCGTCTGGATTAAACAGTGTAACTGCTACCGTTTATTCTGATTTTTTAAAACCGTATTTATCAAAAAATGTGATCGAAAAATACGAAACTATTTGTTTGAAACTGTTAGTGTTGATTTTTGGAATTTTATGTATATCGTGTGCATACATGGTAAAATATTTAGAAAACAATATTTTTCCAGTTTTTGTTAGCTTTATTGCGTTAACAAATGGGCCTATGGCTGGATTATTTATTGCTGGACTCTTTATAACACAAATAAACGCAAAAGTAAGTGTATTTATCGTCTCATTTATGTATTATGATGAAATATTGAAATTTAGGGTGCTTTTTATGGAGGATTGATATCATTAATTTTTATGGGATGGCTCGTTATAACTTCTCAATGGTATCAAATGCAAGGTTTGGTTAAATTTCCAACACTTCCACTTTACACGAACAATTGTGGAATTACTTTTGAAAATGTTTCAAATGTAAAACATAATCAATCACAAAATGAAAATGTATCGTCCATATTCAAATTTCCACATTTTTTATTTCCTGTAATTGGTAGTTGTACGGTATTAATTCTTGGATTTCTAATAAGTTGTTTCACAAAAACAGAAAATGATGAGAATGTTCCTGATGAATATTTAAGTCCACTAGTGCATTGTATCAGAAAGAAATGTAACATTTCTAGTTACAAAAGTGTTTTAGATGTGAGAGAAGAATGTGATAGTAAATGATTGAATTAAAAAAAACACTCATTTTTCAAAAATAACTTCACATTGTTAAACATGATAACTTCTAACTACTTAATGTAAATGCAAGAACACTATAAACATTCCCTTATCCTAACAAAAATGACATATTATGTCGTTTTGAAAAACTTAAAAAAACTTGTAATCGTACAATTATCAAAACATATTCCAAAAACAAAGTGATCATATAGGACTGAGCGGCTGCCTGGAGCTGGTGAGTGAGATCATAGAGATCAGAACAACTTTTCATAATAAGATTAATTAAAATTCAATTCTACTTTCGATTGACAACCCTAAAGCTTAACAAATAGTGTTCAATTGATCGTTTCAAATGACGAAGAAGATGTATCGCTTCAAAATGTACATTGTGCTCGAAAATTTATATTGGTCTATCCTAGACAAAACGAGAAGAGACGAAATAAAAAACATTAACATTCGAGAACGTTATACGATCGCGCAAATAGCGATGTGAAGAGAATGAGCGAGTATAAGCTACAGCGTATAGCAATGCAAGAATACCAGAAGGAAGCCGTTCACTAAAAAGGTGGCAGGAGAAATGGTAGTTCACCTTCCAGGAGGTCCCTCGACAATGACTGCAAAATCAACAGACCGACAGGTTTAAGAGAAAGAAAAAGACGAAAGACATAAAAATAGTTATTTACGGTATATTGAAAATAATCATCTACCACAAGTTCACATTTAAGTAAACTTCACACCTAATTTTTTATTGCAAGTAAATTTACATATTGGCCTTACTTAAATTTCACCACAATTCAAACTTTTTCCATAATTAGAGTTTAGATCCATGTTGCAAGTGAATTATTTAAAGCGTTAACTAGTTTGACTTCAAATTTAATAAAAAGAGCGAGTTAAGAAGTTTTTTCGTTTTATTTTTTTCATAATGTTTGGTATTATTAGACGAAAAAGTGATGTAATAGATAGATGTAGGCAACTTAATAGGCAATGTAGGCAGTAGTAATCGGATGGTTGTTACTGGTACAAATAACAGTTAGTTTTATTAACAAATACAACATGGCGCAGAAAGAGGACACTTTTATTAACACTTTGGGAAATTTTCATACTCATATTCCAAGAACTGGATTTTATACGAATTTTTAAGTCTTAATCGGCGAAAATTGTAAAATTCGAAAAAATTGTCGATCATTTCAAAAATTTATTTCTCAAGAACTCAAATTGATTTTTCAAAACGACTTGTTGTATTAAAAAGAGGATACTTTAATGAATAAATGGTGATATTTCCACAAGGATCCTTCAAGAATAGTATATTACAGTATAAGTGAGGAAACTATGATTTTTCATTAACGCGTATGCCAAATTTCCACACAAGCCGAAGGCGAGTGTTGAAAGACATACAAGTTAGTGGAAAATATAAGTTTCCCACGTGCTGTATAGCGTTTTGTTCAATCCTACTATTTAGAGAAAATCCGTTTTAAAATTCGATAATTCCTGAGTAATTTCATGTCGACATGTCGGTGACGACAGCAGTTTTTGACATTGTCATTGATTGTCATGCTCTTAATTGATAAATGTAAGCAACCAATTGTGTCAAATTGTTAATTGACACGAGTGACTGAAATTTTTTTTTTACTCACGCTAATTTTTATCAACCTGTGTTAGCTAAATATAAAACCTTTTAAGGAACAACTCTTTGTTTAAACGTAACGGATGTTAAGTAAAAAACGGTGGACAGCACACGTGGAAAGTTAATCAAGTATTTCATTTGTATAAATTATTTTAATCAATTTATTAATTTTATGCTTGTATCGTAATGATTTTATACTTGTATGTCTTTCCATACTCGCGTTCGGCTCGTGTGGATCCGACATACGCGTTAGTGAAATAAATATCATAGTTTCCCCACTTGTCCTGTAATATACTATTTTTCAATTCTACCTTCGAAATTGTCAGTTTCTAACGTGGATACGAGTGTTGAAACTTGTTATTTGCATTCACTCTGCTGACTTTTATAGAAACGAGTGAGTGAAAATTTTTTCAACCACTGTTAGCTAAATATAAAACCTTTAGGTCCATTACTACCATCTTTTAGTTAAATTTATCTTATAGATAAACCCATCTACTAGCCAACCAGAGCGCGTAAAATAGCCGTAACCACAGTAATAATCCCTTAGATAGCTTAGCCAGAAGATGGTAGTAACGGCCTAAGGCTCGTTACTATTGCTATGGTTACGGCTATTTTACGCGCTCTGATTGGCTAGTAGATGGGTTTATCTATAAGATAAATTTAAGTAAAAGATGGTAATAATGAACCTTAAAGGAACAACTCTTTGTTTAAACGTAACGGATGTTAACTAAAAAACGGTGGACGGCACACGTGGAAAGTTAATTAGGTATTTCACTTCTATAAAGTATTAATTTTATGCATAATGATGACAATTAACGATTTGACACAAATGGTTGTTTACATATATCAATTAAAAGCATGACAATCTATGACATTGTTAAAAACTGCTGTCGTTGCCGACATGTCGACATGAAATTACTCAGGAATTATCGAATTTTAAGAAGGATTTTCTCTAAATAGTAGGATTGAACAAAACGCTATACAGCACACGTGGGAAACTTATATTTTCCACTAACTTGTATGTCTTTCCGTTCGAGGCCTTCGGCTCGTGTTGAAATCCAACATAGGCGTTAATGAAAAATCATAGTTTCCTCACTTATACTGTAATAGGTATACAATTATTTTGCAACATCGAAAATTTTATGAAAACTTCAAATATTGTTTTCTCAAAAACTAAAAGTTATTTTTCAAATCGTGTTGGTTCATTGGAAAGCCGGCACTGTTATTAACATTGAGAAATTTTCAAACTCATATTTCAAGAAATGGATTTTATATGAATTTTTAAAACTAAATCGACGAAAATTGCAAAATTCGAAACAATTGTCGATGATTTCAATAATTTATTTCTCAAGAACTGAAAATGATTTTTCAAAACGCCTTTTTGCATTAAAAATAGGATACCTTAATTAATAATTGGTGATATTTCCACAAGGTTCCTTCAAGAAATTAATTTTATAGCGAATTTTGAAGATTATCGATGAAAATTGCAACATCGAAAATTTTATGAAAACTTCAAATATTGTTTTCTCAAAAACTAAAAGTTACCGTATTTTCTCGAATGTAATCCGCACCTTTTTTACAAATTTTATGTGCTCTAAAATCAAATGCGGATTACAATCGGGTGCGGATTAGATTCGCAGTCGTATAATTGCAATTTGGAAAATAATAAAATAAAATCACATTATAACAATAATACTTTATTAAGGGTTTTAGAACGATATTTACATTTTTATGTATCATTTTCTTCCCATATTACGTCATCTTCGGATTATACGAAACTTCTTAAATGATGTTATAATATTGTTTTCAGGGATCGTTTTCCATGTCGCCTACACTCACTGAGCAAGGTCAGAAGCTCCTTTAATTGCTCCCGGTTTTGTTAATTCTCGAGTTTGTATACATATGTATACATACACAGGTTATAGTATGGATGTTATTCCACCAGGTATTATTATTATGACAAGAAGTCTAAACCCAGGTCAATTAATCAGTCTATGATTAATTAATATACTTATTTAATAATCCTCCTGGTCTAAGACTCCATACTTGTCTTAATCACTCCATCATCAGCTTTTCAATTATCCATTCTATTTTTTGTGCCCTAACTAGGACGTCATTCGGGAAGTCTTTCAGATTTCAGAATGGTTTTTTTCTCAATATCAATAATGACAGCAATTTTTCCCTATCACTTGTTACTGCTGCCATCAATGTTATGCGCAATTTTTCGCAACCACTCGTTTATAAAGAAATTTCACACACCCCTCTTCTTTCCAGTGTGTAATTGGGTGGCATATTCAGATATACTACCATTTCGTTGACATTTCCAGTTTGAGACAAATTGAAATTTTCTTGAAAATCATTAGGAGCTTTTGGGAAATTGTAGTTCTGCGCCTCAACGATAACACCATTCGGCGCATAAATCCCACAGTCCAACCTTAGCTAGTATTAAAAATTTTTTAGTCCCTCCTTTCGTTTTTCTTGAGAGAACTAGAAAACTGCCTCGTCAATCTCATGAAATCGTCTCTTCTTTGGCCCGGTAAATTTTTTGCACGATGCCTCACAGTCTGCAATAGCTACCTTGTCTTTCCGCAACAGCCGCAACGTTACTCTCATTAACAGCAAAAATTGTACCAGCTTTTGTACCAGATTTCCTTAACGCTAACTTAATAACATCTCTTTAAACTTTGCTGTATAGAAGAACCTTTTAGATTTTTGCTACTTTTTTTTTAATAATTACGCTATTATATGTATAATTAAGCACACACCACGTTCGAGCTACTACGATGGCAGTATATGAACGGAATTCGTGCTAGGCATTACTATTTATTTTTAAAATTATATTTATTTTCCAATTTTTTCTGGCTTGGTAAATTTAAAGTCTAGTCTAATAAAAACTCGTCGTAAGCAAGGTTTCTTTAGGTACATCAGCGTCAGTCAACAGAAAAAATATATATTAATGGTTAACAACAAGCATCGCATCGTTTTGGTGTTGTCGAATTGCTCAAAGAAAGATGCGGATTACATTCGCAAACTAAATTTTTTTACCACTATGCATTTTTAAAACCGGGGTGCGGATTAGATTCGAGTGCGGATAAGATTCGAGAAAATACGGTATTTTTCAAATCGTGTTGGTTCATTGGAAAGCCGACACTCTTATTAACATTGAGAAATTTTCAAACTCATATTTGAAGAAATGGATTTTATATGAATTTTTAAAACTAAATCGACGAAAATTGCAAAATTCGAAACAATTGTCGATCATTTCAATAATTTATTTCTCAAGAACTGAAATCGATTTTTCAAAACGCCTTTTTGCATTAAAAAGAGGGTACTTTAATTAATAATTGGTGATATTTCCTCAAGGTTCCTTCAAGAAATTAATTTTATAGCGAATTTTGAAAGTTATCGATAAAAATTATTGCAACATCGAAAATTCAAATATTGTTTTTTCAAAAACTAAAAGTTATTTTTCAAATCATGTTGATTCATTGGAAAGAGTAGACTTTTATTAACATTTTGAGAAATTTTCAAACTCATATTGCAAGAAATGGATTTTATACGAATTTTGCGAAAATTGCAAAATTCGATCATTTCAAAAATTTATTTCTCAAGAACTGAAAGTGATTTTTCAAAACGACGTTTTGCATTAAAAAGAGGATACTTTAATTAATAATCGAAAGTGATAACAGCGACAGTTCTGTTAGTAATTAATGTGATGATGAATTACAAGCAAAGAGAAGAAAACTAGAGGAAACTGCAACAAGAGATTTTATATATTGTATTGGAATTGTTACAATGAGGTTGCTAATGACAAACCTGATATAAATAAAGTTGTATTCAATGAAAAAAAGTCCTATTGGGGTTGTACTTGATTATTATCTGCAGTGTCCAACACCTAAAAGACATATTAATTCCTGTAAATGGTGGAGTACTAAGTCAAATGGCCAAATATATCCACTAGTAGAAAGTTACATTTTTGAAATAAAAATTTCTTATTCTCATAAAGAAAGTCTTACTTAATTATTAAAATGATTTGAACATGTACTTATTTATAATTTGTTAATTTAAATACCCCTATGAACTTGCCACTTATTATTTATTGAGTATAAGATGTTTACAACAATAAACAACCTATAATAAACCTAATTATAAAAAATTAACCTAGTTCATATCATTTTCATATTAACTACCTTAAAATAGTAAACTAAATCCTTAATAATTTAACTTTGTTTTCTTTAATATCCTCATAAACATTAAACAGAAAAAGAAACAAATATTAATCCCATTTTTTATCACCATTAAACGCATCCGCAATCTCATTTTGTAGATCCCCCATAAAATGATTTCCATTTAACATAGGTTTTCGACACACAAAAAACACACTATCATATTCGTATTGTAACATAGCCTGAGGATTCTGGCAATATCTCGTTTTCAATCCAGTTTGACACTTTTCCATCACAAACCCAACCTTTTTAATCACTTCACAGAGTACCTCAAAACTTGGCTCTATACTTTTCTCATTTTTCATATAAGAATAATGATAGAGTAAAGGTCCCAAATTAATCCAAACTCCATTTGGTTTTAAAATGGTGTAAATGGTCTCGAGAAATTCGACAATATTCGATGCACAATCAATAAAAAAACATGTTGCAACACAATCAAAAACATCGGGTTCTGTGTAAACTTCTAAGAAATCACCTGCTGTCATTGAAAATTGAGATGATTTATCTAAAGATGTTATTATATCTGGAAATCTAATAATTTCTTTGTAATAAAATTTGAAATGTTTTTTTAAAAATAATTACCTTACGCTTAACATTTGAGTTTCTACCGATAAATTATTACAATACTGATGAATCCAAGGGAATACTTCGAATTCATCAATTTTTTTACAATGATTTAAAACATGGAAAGAAACGATTAACATAAACATATTAAATTCGTTTCCTTGACAATTAAATTTTCTTTTAGCTATTTCAAAGGCAAGACGTCCCAATCCAGCACCGGGGACTAAGATTTCAATATCTCGTCTATCAACTTTATCCTCTGGAAATTGAAGTTCAATCTCATTAATTACCGGACTATAACATTCCTCTCTTTCCTTCGCCCCCAACGAACTCCAATCACGCATTAATTGTTTAAAAACCGACTGAACTTTATCTAAACCTTCCGATAAAGTACCCACAGAAGATTTTTGATGAGAACCTGAGTTATCCGATGTGTAAAGGTTTTCAAAAATGTTTTTCGCATGTTGTACAACGATCGGAATATAATCCGCGTTTTTATCAATACAACTTTTAATATTGTCTAAATCATTTTTGTACTTTTCCAACCATGTTTGGTGTTGAGATGGGAGAGCTGATAAACATTTTTCTTTATATTCTATCCTTAAAAGAGATTGTTTTCTAAAACAAATTAAAAAAATTTAGATATAAACAAGGTCACAAAAAGGCTTATGCAACATCATTCTCAATTAAGTAACCATTTCTTCTCATTAATTTTGATATAAATGATAAAATACGGTAAAAACTAAATCTAAAAACTTGTTTATTTTAACCTAATTAAGACCATTTAAGGATTATAACTTACTTGTAATTGTCAAACGTTTTTAAAACTTGTAAAAAATAGTTCCGTTCCTGAGTAACAATATCGTCGTCCATTTTTGCGTTGCCGTTAATCATCTTCCTCCCAAATTTACACTATTTCGACAACAACCTCACGACAATTTAATTATAAATACGGCTTTCGAACATAACCTAAAAAGTCAAATTGACGTTGCCGATAAAATTAATAACTGTAAGTTTTACTTTAAATTATTTTAAAAGAATAAAATTTAATTAAAATTTAAGCTAATGTTACATTAATTTTAAAATGTATTGGTGTTAATTGATTAAAAATTAAGAAATTAATTTAAAATAATTATTTAAAAATTATTGTTACTCGGAATGTGAATGGTTCTGATCTTAGCTAAATTAATTACATTTTAAAAATTGCTAATTTATATAAATAAAATTATAAATCTAAATTTATTGTAGTGCTTGAAATCAAATTTATTATAATTATGTAATAAAAAATATTAATTAATCCGTTTATAAAATGATAACCATAAAAAGGTTCTGAACTGAGCTAGATTTATAAGATCCACAAAATGAACGAGCAAGGTCGGATTTCCTTCAGTATCGTGCTAGAATCGATGAGAGAGTTTATATAGTTTTACGTTTGAAAAGTGCGAACGAAAAAAGGAGACAAAATGAAACTGACACCGAGAAATTTTCAGAGCATGGCGAAGATGCTGGATTATTACTCCCAATTTAATCCGTCGCCGCTCTCCATCAAAAAATTTATCGATTTTGGTAAGTGCCCAATAAACGTTACTATTTTGATACACATTTTAATTGTTAAAGTTCGTCACGAAAGATGATTAGGACCGTATTTCGTCTCATTTGTTCAAGTCGGAAATTTCGATTAAGAACGCAATAAATTTAACCTATATTTAAATTTAAAATTGACCAACCGCCAGGTATACATCTCATTGACAATGACCTTTATTATAATAAAACAGCTGCATTTAAATTCGATCAATTTCAAAGACTTTCCCAGCTTTTTAATTATCAGATTTGTAATCATTTAAAGCGTAATTTGTTTATATTGTATTCAAAGTTTGGTTTAAAAGAAACAAACAAGATTTGGTAATTTTGATAAGATGATTTACAGACTATAACTTTATTAATTGAGTTATAATTCATAAATGTTATTCATAAATTTATTATAAATTTCTATGCTACATACTTATATTTTCCTTAATTTATGTTTCATATTTAAGGTATTACATATCAAAATAGTTATGAACATATAAATATTTGATTAGTCAAATGAATTTAATTTATTTTATTATCTTACAATTAGTGTATATTTTCAAAGAGCATTTTTTGCTACAAAGCAACAAATGTAAACAACATTTTTCTAATATTCCATTATAAAGAATTCTGTAATTACAGAAGCATCATCTAGTGAAATATATTAAAACTAAAATTGAGCACAACAAACTCTTTAATCTATAAATTGAGGTTTCGTCAACTCCAATAACAGTATTGTGTAATAATAATAATACTTTATTGACGATAATATCATTTACATGATTTTCGTAATACATAATTATATAGAAATTACATTAGATTGCATAAAATTGTATTAAAACAAAGGACAAAGAGCAAAATCAGAAACAAAAATCAAAATACGAGGGGCGACACATATTCTACACTACAGATCGTCAAAGTTATTATTTAAAAATTCCTGCACACTTTAGAAGGAATTTTGCGCTTAAACAGATTCGTCTCTAATACTACTACATGATCTGGAAAGATATAAAATTTTATGCCGAGGTAATTAACGCCGTCCCTCGCCTTCGTCGTTCAAAAATAGTTTCCAATAGTTATGACTAAAACTAACCGTTTTATATTGGATGATGTTATTTTTAATGTGAACAAGACAGTGGTATTGTTAACATTTGAATTTTAATAAATTTTGCTCTACGCCAATCCTGGAATCCCAAGTTTACCATCACCATAACGCATCTTCTCTGGACTCTAAAAACTGGACAGTATAGGTAGAATAACCCCAAGCTAATAAAGCGTAGGTGGCATGACTAAAGAAATAACTATAGTATACCGGTGTCCCTCAAAAGTGGCTCACCCCCATATTTTTTTTTATTATTAGTGATATAGGAAAACCATTTGGAATGCATAATTAGGCTGTTAAAGCGGATTATTACAACATGAAATCATTGTCTTTGAACTTCCGGTTATACCGGATGTGAGTACTAACTTCGCTATTTTTTTAAATCTATAATTTTTTTTTCTTCAGTTGGGTAGACAACATAACTTCACATAACTTTTACTTGAAAAAATTTTCACGGTCGCTTATAATTTTTGAAAAAAAAATTATTTTCATTATTTTTAACGTTTTAGTACCTTCGGAAAATTTATTACAACATTTGACGCATAGTAACTAGGTTAATAGTATAAACTACGTTATGTTCCTCGTGATTTACTATTTCTCGAGCAGTGATCACTGCTATGGTTTAGTCAGTGGTTCTTTTTTAATAATGGTGAAAATTAACAGTTGTATAAATCAGTTTTAAAACAAAAACTCGAAACAACAAGTAAATTTAATTCAATTATAAGTACAAAAAAATTATTTTCTAAATTTTCAAAATGCTCCCCGCCTCGATTTTGACATAATTGTATCTTCCGTATTGTCGATCTAACAACTCGACGTAATTCCTGCGGAGATATTTGGGTAATACAGTTTCTAATACCTCACGAGACCTTACCAGTGTATTATACNTAACCGTTTTATATTGGATGATGTTATTTTTAATGTGAACAAGGCGGTGGTATGTTAACATTTGAATTTTAATAAATTTTGCTCTACACCAATCCTGGAATCCCAAGTTTACCACCACCATAACGCATCTTCTCTGGACTCTAAAAACTCTACCAGTATGGGCAGAATAACCCCAAGCTAATAAAGCGTAGGTGGCATGACTAAAGAAATAACCATAGTATATACAGTATTTGAAAAAAGTAGAGCAACTTTTAATATTTTTTTGTACTCATAGCATCTAGATATCTATTTCCCGCCCAGAGAGGACGTGCGGGAAACGCGTTTTCCCGTACAAATGCTTTTTGTTACCGCAACTAACAGGAATATTTAATGACCAAATGTGCATGTTTATAAGAAAAGGTTAATAAGAACGTTTTATACAATCGTGTGCAGATAACACAGTTTTAAAATATTTAAAAAAAATCTATAAAAATCAATTTGCAATCAATAAAATCAATATTGACGTTTTGAATTTCGGTTGATTTTTTCCTGTCAAAAAACAACCCCACATGCAACTCATATCGTCACACAGGGATGTTTTATTCGTTACAAAAAATATTGTACAATACTCATACGAACAGGATTTTTCCAGCATTCGCACGCAAATTCAGAACTCACTCTCTTCGGTCGTTCGTTCTGCAAACTAGCGTGCTCATGTGAAAAGCGAGCCTTTCCGCATTTGTATCGTAAATAACTATTATATTAAATTTTAAATTTATGTTTTTCGTCAGGTTTTACATTGCTATGGCAATGTGTATTATGTAGTAATTGTGTAGCCGAAATTTGACAAAGATAGCTTTATTTTTATAGAAATTTAAACAGAATTGCAAAAGTTGAGTTGGAAAAAAGGAGAACAACTTAACAATTTATAGGTAAATAACAGTTAAATTGAATAAAAAGATTTTTTAGTACTTAATACAAGCTCCTTTATTATTAATGTCATCGTGATACCTTCGTGACATTGAGTGTATTAAATTTTCAATGGTTTTTTCGATCATTTTGAAGAGCAGCGAACAATTCGTCACCATTTTTGTAAATTTTATTTCGAATTTTATCGTCAACTATTTTCCATGGGTTTTCTATAGGATTTAAGTCTGGTGACTGTGACGGTCAAGTCATCAAATTTATTTTATTTTGTTCAAAGCATTCCTTTACGACTTTAGATGTGCGTTTTGGATCGTTGTTCTGTTAAAATTTATAAGAGATAGGCAGATTTTCGTCGGCATAAGGTTCCATAATATTTCTTAATATATCACGGTACATAAATCTGTCCATTATTCCCATAATACGGTGTATACCAAAACCAGAGAAACATCCCCAAACCATCACAGAACCATCTCCATGTTTTAATGTTCGCTGCATGTACTTAGAGGTCAGCTTTTTTCCTATTGGACGCCTCACATATTGACGCCTCCATCACTTTTAAATAAGTTAAACTAGGATTCATCACTAAATAATACCTTGTTCCATTCGTTGTATGTCCACTCTTCATGCGTACGTGCAAATAGTAGTCTTGCGGCTTTATTTTTTTTTTTGGTAGAAGTGTTTTTTTCGCTGCTCTTCGGGCAAATAGTTTATTTTCAATTAATCTATTGCGTATTGTACGTATTGATACCTCCAAATTGTGTATTTCTTATAACTCCTCTGCCTTAATTTTGGCTGAAGAATAAAATTGATATTTTTTAGCTGTTCTTACAATTTTTCTATCAAGGCATCCATTGGTTTTTCTGGGACGTCCAGACTTTTTCTTCAAGTGTACAAGTTCCGTCTCACGATATCGCTTAATAATTCGCTATACTACACATTTGTATAAAGAGAATTTGCGACCGGTATCACATTGTTTAACATGGTTTTTAAAATCATTAATAACCATTTCTTTCACAGTTTTACAAACAGCTACATCACGAGGCATGTGTATGACTGGACTTATCGAATGTATCTTATCAAAAACTCGTTCTTATTTGCCATATGTTTGTATTTCTTAGCAAAATTGTTTTACTTTTTTCCAACCCAAGTTTTATAATGTATTATTATATTATTATAATTAATTATATATTATTATTATATAATTATAATGTAAACCCTAAGGAAAAGCATTAATTTAAAATTTAATTTACAAAAATTAAAAGTTCTACTTTTTTCCAATACTGTACATACATCGAAAGGGACCAAGTCACGCAGTCTGCGAATTGCAAAAATAGCAGTATTCAGTTTCTTTATTAAATGTGAAACATGTTTCCCAGAATCAAGGTAAATTCCCAGATATTTGACAGGAGCCATGCAAGTCTCCAAACGTCTAAGGAAAAAATTTAAGGTTTACGTTTTGAGTTCATTGATACAATTTATCGACATCATTCGCGCAACTGTATCATCAGCAAAGAGATCCAGACCTTGCTTGGCTCTTTCCAATTAGAAGCTTGTATGACAAGTGAATGATTGATTCAAACAACCGTCCTTTCGCATGAAGAATAGATATTCCCAATTCGATCGATTCTGGGTTCACATCTTTCTTCTTCTATCTCATTAGAACTTTTTGAAGTTATCTTATACAAGTACTGCCCGATTGTATATGCTATGTTAGTTGTGGTATTGTGCAATTTCACCTCAGCACATAATAATAATAAATTCCTTACATAAAAAAATACACAAAATTGCAGAAACTAATAAATCTAATAAAGTAAACTACAGGCACAGAATATGATGTTGAAGGAACCGTGTTTTTTGACCTTGATTTCAATTTCGCCATCTTTAAAAAGGGAACACAACGATCCGGCAACGTCGCTCGCTTTGCTTCTCTTGGGAGATGCGAATCAAACGACTTTGTCAGATCGTTGAGGGAACCAAAGGCACAGCAATAACAACAAGGTTCTCTAAAACATGGCATCGCCGCACAGATACTACGACATATCTGTCATCACCTGTTTTACTTAACCAAACAAAACAATGATATAATGCAAGCGAATCTAAC